TGATGACCTGTTAAAATTGAGAAGTTTGCTTAGTTTTCCAGATAACATATCTTTATACGCCCGAAAGAATCGTTTTAATTTAAAAAGAAATTAACGAGATACAAAAAGTTGCTGAAAAGTTTTTGATAAGAGAAAAATAAAATCATAGTTGTTGAGATGATAGAATTCTTTGTCACTTCTGATGCCATTTCAGACGATGTACTAAGTGTCTTGGGCATCAGTAGCCTTGTGGAGCTCATGTCTCTCTAGGTAACACCCGGAATCGATTTCTTTCGTTTAGGCGTCTCGCCTTGCTCATGAAGGGATGCCTGTGTGACGGTTACACACCTGGCCCAGGGTCGAATCCCTTGGTTACGGCGCCAACTGTGACGTCGTTCCTCCTGGTCGCTCCTCCTGGTTCCAAGCGTGCCGCTCCAACCCCTTGGTTAGATGATCACCAGCCTCGCCTTTCCCAACTCGCTTCCAATACCTGGTTCCTGAAGCAACTGTACTGATCTCAGGTCTGTCTACCCACGCTGTGTTTAGATCTTAGACAGACGGGACCAGCAGGATTGGGGCCGATACAAGTTGAGTCCGACGGGGGTGGCAAAACACAAGTAAAAGAAAAAAAAACTCACGAGACAAAAAGATTGCTGATAAAAAAAAAAAAGGGTAACAACCTTTTATATCTAATGTCCGTTACATAAAAACAAAATTGTTCTCATTTCCCGACCCGCTCTGTGGACTATGGCACAAGCTTCTATCACACAATCTAAAGATTTCGAATTGCCTACTCTTTAGAATTGTGTATGTCGGAGTGTGGTTTAGTTCGACACTGGGGCTAATTTCTATCGATCATTCGCAGTTGATTCTTCTCTTCGACTTGAGTTGTATTTCTTCTTCTTCGTCGACTTAGATAGAACTTCTCTTGTCTTCGACTTGGGCTGGATCTTCTCTGCGGCTTTCGAGTAATCTTCTTCTTTGCCCACTTGGGCTGGAAGTTCTCTTGTCTTCGACTTGGGTGGAAGGATTTCTTGTTTCGACTTGGGTGGAAGGATTTCTTGCCGCAACTCAGCCGCTTCTCTCTGTCGTCCGAGGTGATCTCTTCTCGCTGCCGTCCGGGGCTGAACTGATTTTTGTCGATTGGGGCCCTGCTTTTATTGACGCCGCAGCAAACCGGGGTGGGTCTGTCGGCGTCAGGGTTTCTCAATAATTCCAATAGCCGCATTATTTCTGTCTTCTCATTATCGCTATTGTTTTCACCCCTACTTCCTCACAGTGCCTTTGGTGGGGAGGCGCACACCCATCTTTCCCGGTCCCTCGTATGTCAGGTGACCGCTCTCGACCAATGATTCCTGATTGAGCATTTCTCCTCCTCTCCCGTATGTCACGTGACCGTTCCCGACCAATTGTTATTGATCGAGCATCCTTTCTCCTCTTTTCGGGCGTGGTTTACATCGTTCTTGTTTTAAAAAACAAAAATCCAATTTTGCCCTTTTCGCACGTACGAAAAATGACAATCTTGGCTTTTTTTCTCACCTGGGCTCTGTCAAAACATCCTGCCGCTAATTAGATGTGACTTCAGGAAAGAATATTGGCGCCATCTGTGAGCTGAGACAATCGTTTTTTCACCTCTTGTTTTGTCAGACCCGACAGTCAGAAAATCTTAATTATCTACATTGAAAATGTCCCCACTTTATTATCGTGGGTTTCCAATTCTTAATAGGTCAGAATCTGTATACAGTTCCACCGGTCACTCCCCTCAACCCAAAAGACACTTTTTCTCCGATTAAAAAATTTCGTTTCTATTGTTCTAAAAGAAATTCCCTTTCTCTAATTTGACAATGAGTCTTTCCACGCAAAAAGTAGGCTAGGTGCTTTGACCGATATTCTTATCAATCGCCAATACACTGTCATCAAGCCTGGTTCTTTTTCTCCTCTAAATGATTTTTTCATTTCAAATAACAATTCTCTATTGTCTTTTAAAATTCGGCCAACACGCAGGCCAAGATATCCATCTGACACCTATCTTCGCTTATGACCGGGTCATTCATCATCCATCTCTCTTTCCTTTTTTTTCCTTTCTTCCTCTTTTCTTTCCCCTTCCTTCTTCTTTCCTTAGGATCGTCTAAGTACAACTTTAGTGAATTATTTTCAACTCAATTATTTTCCGTTTAAAAAAAAAATCAACAACCTGTTTAGTAAACCGAGTAAAAAAAAAAAATTAAATCATATTTCTATGAATATTTCTAATAATACAAGGTGCCACACCTATTCGTAATGATGATTTCCCAGTCACTATGGTCTTGATCATTTCAAATCTCGATTTAACCAGTATCTTTCTATGCATAATCTCATTAGATTCACTTCCCTTTTTTTTAAGCTAATCACATAGTAATCCTCTACAATGTGAGGCCCGTGGGCCTTGTATTGGATGAATAGTATTAAATATAATACGCCATAATTCTCCCTGAAATTCGGTTGAGCTCTCTAGGGAAAGAGATTTTTAAAAACAGCGGCTCCTACTGCTATTAAGCATTACTCTTTAAATATGAATTGAGTTCTCTGAGCTGTGGCGTATTTCGCATAGAGAACAATGTTAAAATTCCCTTCATTTCTGCAGTGCAACAATGGCCTAGGGGTAAGATAGCTGACATGTTAAATCAGTCGGGTTTCGATACCGTCTTGTAGCAATCGGACGTCTAGCTGTGATACAGCAAAACAGCTAGTAAAAATAGGTAGGTAGGTTAATAAAACAAGTGCAATCGAAAGGGTACGAATGTGATCGGTACGAAAAATATTTATTGAGTATTAATTATTAACCACATAAATGAAACAAAAATTAAGTTCGAAATTTTCTGGCACGCCTGAGAGAAATAAACAGAGGAACATGGTAGACTCACCAAATGTTGTACTTGTGGCTGGTGTAACTGCTTGTGTAGATGGTATTATTTGTAAAAATTCGATCTCTGTTTGATTTCTCGCTGTGCGAAACTTCTTGTAAAAATAAACTTAGATTCAAAAATTAGGCTAAAATCATTCCCATTTTTCCACGTATTTATTTGTTTCGAGGAGAGTTAATATCTCTCTCATGGCGTATTCCAACAAAGGTAAATAAATATTTATCAATTAAAACCAAGAAAAACAAAGTTAATATTTATGTGCATTATTTATTATTCGGACTATCGTCTTCACCTTTGTTGTTATCACGACGTTTCGGTAGTTGTGTCCTCCGGCCTTCGTCAAAATAAGGGTCAGGATATAAATAGAGTAAATAATGATAAAGAAATTCAAACGGGAAGTTAATATTTATACAATTTTATTTCGATTTATTTTCTGAATATATATTGGTGATTTAGTGATGTTATACCGCAACAATCATTATCATATTTTTGTATTGCTTAAGATTCGCAAACGTAAACAAAATTACCGATTCTTTTTCATTTTTTTCTTTTTCACAAGTTTTGATCATATTCTTCGCTTTTAATTCAGAGGCGTTTTGTACATGAAAATAAGCTTTCTTTCTCTCGATAATTTGGCTCCATTTCTATCAGTGTCTTTGCACACAAAGGTTTAAGGTATTTCATATGGATTGCTATTTATAAAAAGATCAACAGTAACTATTTGATACAATTCCAAGAGAGATTTTTTCTCTTCTAGGAATATATGAAATAATTATTGATATGCCGAGTGTGACAGCTAACATTGTCCATCCAACAAAATGTTTAATGTTTAAAAAAAAAAAGCACTAAACTGATTGAGTTTCTTTTTTCCAAGATTTCAGATAAGATTTTAGCCAGCACCCTCCATTTGTCGTATAAATCACTCAAAAACCTTGACTTATTCAGTTAGAAAAAGAATAGGTTAAATTCTTTTTTGTCAGTTCTACTGTTGTTCTAAATGAGCAATGTTCAGAGGAAAAAGATGATTCACGTCTTCAGTAATGGTACCAGCATTCATACTCTGCATTTCATCTTCAACGTCCATTCAAGAACCATAGAAAGGACACAATAGGAAGGGGGATCAACATTTCAACTTAGAGCTAAAGAGCTCAATTAGAAAAGATCCAAATCAATCAATGAGACAATTGACACATGAGAAATGATTTTCAACAATGACATTTTCAGTGAAAAAAATTGAAAATGAAACCTTACGTGAAACGTGTGAGGCCACTTGTTACTCTAGGACAGAAAGTTAGAAGGATAGAGTGGGTGAAGATCATCCTGAATAATTTGGAAAATGATCCTAGAATAATACATATATATTTTAACTTTATTTTAAGCCTATGCTGATCAATTAATGTGTACACGTTATTTTCGTTTATGATCGATTTCATAGCGATTCTTCGGTTAAAATTCGAGAGTAATGATACATTCTTACAATTCAAGGTAGATTCAATTAATGTTTTAAAAAGTTCGGAGAATTCCAGCCAAATATCTTTAATCATTTCTAAGGTAAAAAGTTTCAAAACATAAAAACCGAATAATATTGGTCTTACACCTGGTATAACCGTGTTTTTGTTTTAAGTCAGTCAGTTATGTGTCATGCGTGACAGACGCTTAGGCGATCATATATCTTTTCATACATTACTAAGAAAACAGATTTTTCCCGGAGTAGGTTGCCATTTCTTTCTGCGGTAGGCCAGTTGCCACCTAAAGCTATAGAACCCGGCCTGTTCTGCTATTTACCCATAACTGGGAGAGGGGAGGAGAGAGTTAAGGGATAACCGATTTTTCGTATTAGTTAAATTTTTTGTATGCCTCCTATTGTGTTGGTAAACAATGCACCAATCGCATTTAGTAGATAATACAGATAAGGTCATTATGGGGAAGTGATTTTCCAATTTTTTTGTCCATTCACTCTCTTGTATCGCAATAGGCACTCTGTTTCATAGATGAGAAATTTGTTAATACATCGGGGTATGATTCTCTGTGTGATGGGGGAGATTTCTGCTGCCATCGCAATTTCGGTCAAAAATCGAAGTGCTGATAAGAATTTTCATCTTCTTGTTTCCTGTTATATCATGTTGAAAGACCACTTTCCGTACGATCACTGATGTTAAGCAAGGTCGTGCCTGATCAGTACCGAGATGAGTAACAGTTTAGGAATCGCAGGTGCTGTAAGCTTGAATGTGCAACTGATGCAACGGATAATGGCTCTGTATTGTTAATCTGAGAGCAGAGTTCTTATTCCTCGTGGGTTCATGATATTCAGTAACGAGGAAATTTCTTTGGGAAAGGTATGGGTCCACCACTTCTCCGGTAAGCTATTGGTGTATTAATGAAACATATATCACTAAACCATTATTACAGCACAAAAATAATCTCAGAATTTAAAAATGTTTTCTTGCTTTAAAAATATTTTCTTGCTTTAAATAAGCTGCAGTAGGTTGATAGACGGTAAAAAATGTCTACTCTTTCTTCTTCTTCTACTCCTCATTCTTCTCCTCATTTCTTCTTCTTCTTCTTCTTCTTCTTCTTCTTCTTCCACTTCCTTATCCTCCTCCTCCTCCTTCTTCTTCTTCTTCTTCTTCTTCTACTCCTCCTCATTCTTCTCCTCTTTCTTCTTCTTCTTGTCTTACTCTTCCTCATTTTTCTTCTCCTCTTCCAATTCCTCCTCCTACTTCTTCTTCTTCTTCTTCTTCTACTCCTCCTCTTTCCTCTTCTTCTTCTTCTTCTCTCCTCCTCATTCTTCTTCTTCTTCTTTCTTCTTCTTCTTCTTCTTCTTCCTTCTCATTATTCTTCTCCTCTTCCACTTCCTCCTCCTTCTTCTTCTTCTTCTGCTCCTCCTCATTCTTCTTCTTCTTCTTCTTCTTCTTCTTCTTCTTGTCTTACTCCTTCTCATTCTTCTTCTCCTCTTCCACTTCCTCCTCCTCCTTCTTCTTCTTCTTCTGCTCCTCCTCATTCTTCTTCTTCTTCTTCTCTTTCTTCTTCTTCTTCTTGTCTTACTCCTTCTCATTCTTCTTCTCCTCTTCCTTCCTTCCTCCTCTTCTTCTTCTGCCTTCATTCTTCTTCTTCTCCTCCTTCTTCTTCTTCTTCTTCTTCTTCTTCTTCTTCTTCTTCTTCTTCTTCTTCTTCTTCTTCTACTACTCCTCCTCTTTCTTCTTCTTCTTGTCTTACTACTTCTCATTCTTCTTCTCCTCTTCCACTTCCTCCTCCTCCTCCATCTTCTTCCTCTTCTTGTCTTACTCCTCCTCATTCTTCTTCTACTCTTCCATTTCCTCCTCCTCCTCCTCCTTCTCCTTCTTCTTCTTCTTTCTTACTCCTCCTCATTCTTCTTCTCCTCTTCCACTTCCTCCTCCTCCTCTTCCTTCTTCTTCTTCTTCATTTCCTGCTCTTCATTATCCCTCCATCCTAATCCACATATTTTTTTATTATTGTTATTGTTGTAGCTACTATATTTTTCTGACTTTTTCATGGTTACTTTATAGATTTGCTATTTTTAATGTCCGCCTATTTTCCCTTTCCTTTCTCTGCTTTTATCTTCATGTCACATTCGTTGCAACAACAACAACAACAACAAAAACAACAATAATAATCACCACTTCTTTGTTATTCTATTTTATTCTGCTTATTATTTTTTCTTAGTATTGTTGTTATCTTCTTTGCAGTCATCATCATTTTCTGCTTCTTCTACACCAACATCATCTCCCAGTTTCTCGTTATGCTCCTCCTCATCATCATCAGCTCCAGATGCTTATTTTTATTTTTCTTCCTTATAATAATAACCTTGTTAATTTGTTTCTTTCATTCTTTTTTTATCATTTATTTTCCTTCTGTTCTCATTTTCTTCTTCTTTTCCTTTTTTTCTTTCGTCATCTTCCTATTCTTACTTTTTCTTCTTTATATTTTATTTTTTTCTAATTCGTCGTTCTTATTCTTCGTCATCATCTCCCTTTCGTCTTTTCTCTTTCCTCGTATTTTACTTTTGCCTTTTTTTTCTTTGTCACTTTTTCTGCTACTTCTTCCATGTCTTCGTTCTGTTTTTCATTTTCCTTCATTTCCTTCTTTTTACTTCTTTTTTTATTTTATTCCTTCCAAACTCTTATTAATCAACCAAATGATTGAGAGCTGACTGCTTCAACCTCTGTGCACCGAAAACTCAAGCAATTACCCCGTAAACAGAACCAACCTATTTTCCATCGATATTTCTTCATGAATATCCAATATGGCATCTCCTCAAATTTTCCTCGCCGACATCATTTCAGTAAAACAGAATAAAATCTGACTGATGCAGCTATCAGTAGGTTTCCTCATATGTAAGTGATTGTTGTCTCTTAATATGTATTCGACATTTTTAAGTAATACAATTTTCATTATCATTTTTCATTAAATGTTCTTATTACTGTACTCATATATATATATATATATAGCGTCCATGATTTTCCTCAAATACCCGGATGTTTATGCTGCAATCAGTGGAATTTTGAAGATGACCCGGACTTTTTTTTCCTTTGATTTTAATGTTTTTTTAAAGTTCCCAGGTAGATATACAAGCACCAGGACAGAACAGGGAAAAAAAGAGTCTATGCAGGAGATTTAACTTCAAAGTTGACTCGTCCTGGGTATGACGATAGATTACATCAGTGTCCTGGATATGGCAATAAACTAGCTCTGCGTCCTAGATCAGTCGAATAATTACGAACTACAGCAAGGCCTCTGATCAGGAGGTTTTGAGGAGCGGGAAACCACCTCTTAATTGCTGGTGTTCCCAGGTTCACCCTGACCCGGTGTGGTAGCACCTATTAGGGTCCCAGCTATGAGTAAATAGTTAACACCCAAACTGGAGTCAAAACATAGTGAAAGTGTAAAGATTGGTTTTAATACCAGAAATAATTTGTAAAATATTATTACCAGCAATAAATTTTTGAAGAAAGACGTGTTACCAGGTATACATTTTCGAAAGAAAATAATATATATATATATATATATATATATATATATATATAAAATACCAACAATGCATTTTGAAAAAATTACAGGAATAAAAACTTATCGGCATTAAATGCCCCATTGAGGTTGATATACGTAAATCAAAACAAGCCAAACTAAACCATACATTTTTGAAAAAAAAATATTACCAGCTATACATTGTTTGAAAGAAAAAAATATTACCAACTATATATTTTTGAAAAATAAATATTACCAACTATATATTTTGAAAAAAAATATTACCAGCCATACATTTTTTGAAAAAAATGTATGAGTAGCTATACATTTTTGAAAAAAAATATTACCAGCTATACATTTCTTGAACAAAATATTACCAGCTATACAGTTCTGAAAAACAATTACAAGCCATACATTTTTTGAATAAAATATTACCAGCGATACATTTCTGAAGGAAAAAAATATTACCTCAATACATTTATCGAGAAAAATTTTACCAGCAATAAAAAATGTCGGCGTTAAATAAGCCATTGTGTTGATATGCCGTATAACAAACCAAACCAAACAAAAGTTGACTAATTCAAGTGGAGGCAGTAAATATTTTGTTCTGTAAATGTAGATCTGCTAATCGTCTATACTTAATGCAACAATTAATAACAAATAGATAAAAAACAAAAAATAAAATTAAAAGAAACCAAGTGAAATTCGGTAGATTATTTTCACAAAAATTATTTTGAAAAAAAAATGTAAAATATATATATATATATATATATATATATATATATATAAATAAATTAATTGATTTAAATGTTTTTTTCACTACAATATATAAAATAAGCTAAAACCTCGAATTTAATTTTGTCATTAAATTAAAGATATTAATTCCATTTCATCCTCAAGCGAATTTTGGAGTAACTTTTAAAATTACTGGGTTACTCCAAAATTCGCTTGAGGATGAAATGTCTTTAATTTAATTACAAAATGAAATTCGGGGCTTTTATCTTCTATTTTTTAAACATGGTTAGAACTGTGTAGCGAAAAAAAATCATATTTTAAAACAATTAATTTATAATATTAATGCTCTGTACATTGAGCACTATTTTGTAAAAATAAAAATATCTATAAGAACACCGGATTATATATCTTACTGTTCTTTTTTTATTTATACACACACACACATACACACACGTAATTTTCCATGTATAATACGTATTTTTCTAAAATATACCATCTATAATACGCATTTTTCTAATAAAAAATTCTAAAGTATATAAAAGCAATATTAGGGGTGCGTATTATGCACATCTAAAAAAACAGTCTTTAAAAAAGTGCTGTTTCATAGGTCAATTTCATTTTCGAAAATCAACTTGATTTTCTCCCTTTGATGTCAACAAATTAACCATTCGCCCTTGCATGGAATATTGCTGCCACATAAGGTCTAGAGCCCCGACTGTTTGCCTCGGGGTTCTTGATAAAATCCAGAGACGGATATGCAATATAATTGGCCCTGATCTGTCATATCGTCTGCAGTCTCTCTCTCACAGACGTGCCGTCGCCTCTCTCTGTCTTTTTTTTACAAATACTTTCATGGTAATTGCTCCGAGGAGCTGCATTCGCTGGTTCCCAGATTTCATGAATTCAAGCGTCCTACGAGGCTGGCATCCCGCTCTCACCTTTTCAGTTTTGAAACTGTTAAATGTGGCCGCCTCTTCTACTCCAATAACTTCATATCTCGCAACTCTTGCCTGTGGAACAACCTTCCCTTTTCCTGTTTCCCTAACAGCTATAATCTCAAACTATTCAAATGTAATGTAAATCGACATCTCCAGTTGGCTTGATCTATCCACTATCCTTCTCCTCATCCTTTCTTCTATCACTCCTATCTGCTCTCGTTCTAAATCCTCTATAACCCCTTGCGTGCTAGTGGCTTCCCGCCCTGCTAAGGATGAGATGAATTTGGATGTGACTGGCTTTCTCTTTCCATATTTTGGATAGTATCATACCCTCGTTAAAATTTAAATTTAATTTAAATAAAAGTGATAACAATTTTAAGTGGGGGTGCAAAACCAGTTTGATCTAATCACTTTGATATGTATTTAATGTAATACTTGATTGAATGAATTGAAGTGAAGATTTCTACTTTGATATGATAGTTGGATTATCGCAACAAATGTGTATTGTAAGGCATTGACAACTGATTAGGAATTTCTTGCCAAACATGCCGTCCATATTGTC